GCCTCTCCCCGGGGCTCCGCCTCTCCCAGCCTCAGCTTCCCCAGCTGCGAATGGTGTTTACATGGAAGGTCCCCTTCCTGCCTTCTGGCTGGGCTTCAGTTTGGGTGAGAAAACTATTCCAGCCCCCCCAGGACATTCCTGGTTTTAGGACTAAGCGCGCTGAGTGCCAGGAAACCCTCAGCCCCGGGCAGGCAGGAAGGCTGGTCACCAAAGTCCGCCGTGTTCACGAAACTCCCGTTTGCCAGCAGCACCCGGGCAGCTTGGTCCCATGTCCCCTTTACATCCTCACAAGTTCTCGAAGACCCGTCAGCTTGTGTGTATGACGTTTCTATCTGCAAAATTTTTTTTACCATTTCAGAAGTGTAAACTGAGTTTAAAAAAATATTTATTTTCTTCTGAGAGAAGAATAACAAATTCTCCACCCATTATATAAATAATGTATTTTTGTGAAAAAGAGCTACATATTTTTGGAAGCCTAAAATGTAGAGAAGAGAGTGGCATTGTTTTACATTTCTGTAAATCTTGTTCATATCTGGCTTAGTAGAATTCAGCTGGATTGTCCCAACTGCTTTTGCATTCATTGTGTTTTTTTAAACACTTATTTATTTTTGAGAGAGAGAGAGAGGGAGACAGAAAATCCCAAGCAGGTGCCGCACTGTCAGCATAGAACCCAACTCAGGGCTCGAACTCACGAACTGTGAGGCCATGCCCTGAACTGAAACCAAGTCAGACGCTTAACCAACTGAGTCACCCGGTGCCCCCTGCATTCAGTTCTTGAGATGCATTTTATTTGGGGGGTTGAAATCTATGAAGAAAATCTGACTTCTCTCAGACACGTAGATGAAAAAGGCAAGAATATCCCCACAGCCTTTTCAGATGTTCTTCTTTGATGCCATCCCCACGCGTCCCCAGTGGTAGTTTCTTAAAGATGATGGCAGCATGGACTTGAAGCCGCACCACTGAGCTTTCACTGTTCCCTTGAGGGGATGATAGCGAAGAGGCAGCTGTTGGGATTATTGCACAGAGACTCGTGGACCCCTGGACCCCCGGGGGCCCCCAGCCATACTGAGAATGTGCCCCAGGGGCCCCCGGAGACTCTGGCTGCGTGGCTGTGCTGGCACGTGGGTGGCCGGTGGATGCGTGTCCATCGCTGGGTGAGTCTGAAGTGCTCCCTCTGCCAAGGCGTCTGTGAGCGTGTGCTCTAGATGGTGGGGGCTCCCGTACCCCCCAACCTGCCTGCTCAGCATGGCTGACCCTGCCCTGACCGCCGGGTCCCAGGCGCAGAGCCCACCGTGTCCACGGAAAGAAGTGTCTGCTCCTTCCCCTCCCCCGCTGCTGGCACACTCTGGCGACCGGAGGCTCTGGTTCTTGGGGGCGAGGATGGACTTGCACACACCTGGCCTCGTGTTTTCTTCCAAGCTCTTGTGACCCCAGAGAGGACTCTGACCCCTCTAGGTTTTGGTCTTGTCACTTTTGGGGGCTTATTAGGAGGATTCGGTCACACATAATGGAGTTCCTGGTATAAGGCTTGGCACAGCCGGAGCCCGTTGGTGACCTGGTCCTGGGTGGCGGCCACCAGCGTTGGGGTTTGGGCTGAGCCACTCTGCTTGCTTCAGAGATGAGGAAACCAGCCCAGAGAGATGGGGCGGGTGGCCCACGGCTGCCCAGCAAGGCGTGGTTGACTCTCAGTGCAGTGCTCCCTCTGGAGGCCCAGTCCACACAGTCTTTTGAGGATCCTTGTAAATTAAAACCAAAGAACGTCCAAAACAGGCTTCAGGAACCGTGGCATATTGTAAAAGCGCGAATTGAGCAAAGTGGTATCTTTACATATATATATATATATATATCTTTTAAGTTTATTTCTTTATTTTGAGAGACAGACACAGCATGAGTGAGGGAGGGGGAGAGAGAGAGAATCCCGAGCAGCCTCCAAGCTGGCAGGGCACAGGCCGACGCGGGGCTCAAACCCACAAAGCTTTGAGATCATGACCTAGGCCCCAGCCAAGAGCTGGACGCTTAACTGTCTGAGCCCCCAGACGTCCCATACACTGGTACCTTTAATATTCAGGACAGAGGAGGGGTGTGACTGTGCCTGTCATCAGGCCTGAGGGAGTTTGCAAAGACCATCATCCCCCTGCCAGGAGGGAAGGGGTGTGGTTGGACCCAGGCCACGGGTCCGGAGACCTGTGACAAGCGTCATCTTTAGTCCAACACCTGCCTGTACAGCCTTTTTTAGAGATGATTACATCAAAAGTCTAAATTCGGGCCCTCTGCTAATTTATTTTTGCATTATTTATATAGCACTTACTATGTGTCAAGCACTGCTGTAAGTGCTTTTAAAAGAGGAACTCAAGGCACCTGGGTGGCTTAGTCAGTTGAGCCCCCGACTTTGGCTCAGGTCGCCATCTCACACTTTGTGCGTTCGAGCCCCACATTGGGCTCTGTGCTGACAGCTCAGAGCCTGGAGCCTGCTTCGGATTCTGTGTCTCCCTCTCTCTCTGCTCCTTCCCCACTCACGCTCTGTCTCTCTCCCTCAAAAAGAAGTAAACATAAAAAGAATAATAAAAGAGGAACTCAAGCAGCTTTGCCTTTTCTCTGGTTTCCATAAAGTGGAAGATTGTCCGGCTGGGACTCATCAGGGTCTGGGAGAGATGTGGGCCACTCCCAAGTAATTTCCCAAATAGAAGATGCCCAAATAGGTACAGACATGTCATGTGCAGAACAACCCCAAAGGTAGGTGTCTTAAGGATTACCACTTCACAGAGGAGGAAACTGAGGCACAGAGATGTGAGCATCTGTCCCAGGTCACACGTTGGGTGGGTTTGTGCACTGACCCTCCTGCGCACTCTGCCCGTCCAGATGGGCCATGCCCTCCGTGTGCCCTGCAATACTCTGGGGAGCCACAGTGGGCAGGGGGGAGGGGGCAGTGCCAGGCTGGACGGGCAACGCCCTGTTCCACTGGGGTGGACACTGACCTTCCCCCCACATGTGTGTCAGATGAATGTGCTCACCGGGAATTGGTTCCAGAGCTAACAGAGGGGCCTGGCCCGTACCTGTGCGCAGGCGGCACCCCATCCGCGGCAGCGCGACCTCATGCAGCAGCCCTTTAGCCGGCGCTGGGTGTCCTCTGGGACGCTGACCACAGGTAGGCAGGATACCGGGAGCGAGAGAGGAGAGGTCCCAGGAATGGGGCCCCCAGCACCCCCAGTTGCTGCTTGCCCTGCCTGGCATCACTTCTGTGCTGAGAACGTGGGGTCCCCACCCCAGCGCACACTGAGTCCACCCATGACCCAGCCCACAACACGAGAAGAACCTCAGAGTGGACATGCACCTGCGAGAGTCGGCTGAGACAGGAGACCCTGTCGGGTAGGGGCCCTCCCCCACACTCCCCCGCCTCCCTCTCCCAGTAATTTTGTAGCACGAACCCAGTTTCCAGACCCTCCCCACCCCAAGACTCTTGGAGACCCCAACCTCCTTCAGAGACTGATCCAAGTTGTAGGCAGGTGTCCACGGCTCCTGAAATTCAATATTTTTCAAAATCAAATCAGCTGGAGGTGCATGTAAATGCAGAGTCCCGGACCGGCGCCCTGACCCCTAGTGGTGGAGGTTGGGAATCTGCATTTAATGAAGGGACACGTGCTCCCCAGGCCAGCGGAATGGCTTTTGTAGGGGTGCAGGCTAGCCCGGCTTGGGAGGGGCTGTTTCCCATCCTCAGAAGGCTTGGGCAGCCGCAGGGGAGGGAGAGGCCATGGCCAGCAGCTCCCCCTTCCTGTGAGCAGGGGTCTGTTCTGGGCCAGGGAGGGGGCAGCGCGGGTGTCTTCCTGAGAGGGGCTGCTTCCTCGGCGGCGGACTGAAAGCCCTTCTTTCACCAAGGCTGCTCCTTCATGCTGTGCCCTCCAGGGACTTGCTCAAGTGATCAATATGCTTTTAATTAAAACTCAGGCTGCTTCAAGATGACCGTGTGGTCCCCTGGGTCATTTTCTTCTTTCTGCACATAAGCTTCTTAAAGTATCTTGTGCTGGGCTTCATGTGGGCCCTTGGGGAGCTATCTGATCCTCTGAATTTCCTGGGTCAAGGGTCTCTCCAGAGGTTGGCCTCTTTCTTTTTTTAAAAAATGTTTATTTGAGAGACAGAGAGAGCGAGCAAGTGGGGGAGGGGCAGGGAGAGAAAGAATCCCAAGCAGGCCCCGCGCTGCCAGCACAGAGCCTGATGGAGAGCTCAAGCCCGGAACCCTGAGATCATGACCTGAGCGGAGTTGGACATTCAATGGACTGAGCCACCAGGCGCCCTAGTCAGGCTTCCTTATTGGGCCTTATTCAGGACACCCAAAGCCTCTCTCAAAGGCTGTAACCCCATCAGACACATTTTGGCAGAGGCATGTGTTGAATGGGCGTTTTTTAGTGTATAATCTTCATGACATTCATGTGGCAGTGGCCTGGCTTCTAAAGTCAAAACCCCTCAATCTTGGGCACATTTGCCCCAAATACCTGCCTCTGTGGCATATAGTACTTGTTCAATAAATGCTCGCTGCATGAAAGGTAACTTTTCCTGGGGCGCCTGGGTGGCTCAGTGGGTTAAGTGTCCGACTTTGGCTCAGGTCATGATCTCATAGTTTGTGGGTTCGAGCCCCGCGGCGGGCTCTGTGCTGTCAGTACAGAGCCCACTCAGATCCTGCCTCCCTCTTTGCCCTTCCCCTGGTCTCTCTCTCTCAAAAAGGGAGGGAGGAAGGAAGGAAGGGAGGGAGGGAGGGAGGGAGGGAGGGAGGGAGAGAGGTGTTTTCCTTCTGCTGGAACTGCCACCCAGGAGATGACCCGAGAGATTTGATTAGTAACTCGACACATCGCTCAGTGCCTGTGTGTGACGTTCACTTGTGTCCCACACTGGGAATGGAGCAAAGGGACTTCCTTAGAGGTGCCCTCGAGGTGCCCTAAGAGGGAGGACACTGCCCAGGGGTGCGGACCGGGACCTTCTGCCGAAGACGGGAGACTCCAGCCACTAAGGTCGAGCAAAGAGCTTTTTATTCCGGAGCACGAGGCGGAAGCTTGTGCCCAGCCTCCTTCCCTGTGGTCCTCGTTGGGGTGGGAGGAGTTATGATCCTGTCAGTTTGAGGCAAGCAGTTATGCTGTCGCGGCCGCCGCGGAGGGCAGGCCGCCTGTCAGGGCGCGGGGGAGGCTCAGTCAGGATTGGCCGGGTCTGCGCCCCCAGCTGTGGAAGGGCTCGCGCGTTGGGGAGGCCAGTCTGACTGCAGGTGACATGCCTCCCGGGGCCACTTGGCAGTCAGAACAGGCACTGGGGCTGCTGGGTGCCTCTGATTTCAGGCCAGTGGCTTCAGCCCACTCTGAGCACGGGCCTCTGCCAGCAGCGGCCGGGGAGCCCTCTCCCCTATTCTAACTGCCCTCCAAGGTGGCTCTGCTGTCCTCTGAGGCGTGGGGTCTTTGGTCGCAGTCTGCCCGCCTCCCAGACTGGGACGGGAGATGGTAGCCCTCCGTGATCTGAGCGCGGCCTGCCCAAACTGCGAGGTAACGGCCTTTGGAGACCACCAGAGCTCCTGACATCGTCATTAATAAATAAATAAAGCTGATAGGGATGGAGAAGATAGGGCCACAGCCCGGGTGTGGGAGGTCCAGGCCTTTCTGGTTGCTCTGTCACTGTGTGAGACCTGCCATCACCCTCCTCATGGGACGTGTTCCGATTAAGACAGGTGGCTCTGGGAACACCATGGGAACACCAGCCCCTCTGCGCAGTTAGCCTTGGGGCCTGGTGGGTCATCAGCTGGAGACGGGGGTGGGGGGGTAGGAGTCTCTCTGTGACAGGGTCACTGCCCTTCATAGTTGCTGCCTGGCCCTCCTCTTTCCCACGGTCCCCACAAACTTCCTAAGTGTCCTGGGCTGCGCTTCCAAATGCTGACCTTCCCCCCATTTAACTGAGGCTACCAGCCCTGTGTGTGTGGGAGGGGGGTTGACTCCTGCTCTACCTCAGTGCCCGAGCCCTCCCTCCTCTCATCCTGGTGCCTGCTGACCCTGGGGCCATGGGCCAGAGGGAGAGAAGGTTTACTCAGGGGAGATGGGGGTGGCGAATCCATTCTTACACCAGACTGAGACCCAAACCCTTCTGCAGGACTTTGTGTGGAAGACGCATCTTTGGCACCCGCTGGAATGGGGTCTCAGAGCCCCAGGGCCCCTGCTGAGGCCTTCAGTCATGGCCACGGACACTTCAGGCTTCACACGTTGTGACTGGGGCCCAGGATCATCCTGGCAAAGTGCGGTGCGTGTGTGTGCGCGCGTGCGTGAGTCTGTGCGTCTGTCTGGCCTTCTTGGTCCACATGTCTGTGGGCCCTGGCCCACCCATCCTTTCAGAGAGGCAAGATGGACCCTACCTTGGGAGATCTGGCCTAAAACACCGGGGCCAGGTTTCTGGTCAGTTCTGCATAAGTGGGTTGTTAGGCTTCCTCCAGAGGGAAAGTTAATTAAGCTCTCGGGGGGTGGTCAGAGAGTCTCCCAAGAGCCCTGAATAGGTCCTCTCCCCTGTCCCTGTCTGTGAATGGACAGATCTGTGGCCACAAGGCAGGACGGATCTGAGCTGTCTGACTCAGTGACGATTCTAGTGTCTTTGGGATGGAAAGGGAGCTGAGTTTTGGTGCTACCGTCACGACACAGTTACGGTCATAACCCATGTTTCCAACCTGGGCACGTGTCACGTGCATGTGTGTGTATGTAGCCCCATATGGGTCCCTCCACAGATGGAGCCTGGCCCGTGCTGGCCGCCGCGGCAGCCCTGCCCTTCTCCTAGTGTAGACAGGCTCAGGGAAGCCTTTCCGGGAGCAGCTGGGCCCCTGCAAACTTTCAGGGCTGGTCTGTCCGGGTGTCAACGTCCACCCCAGGCCCTCGAGCCAGCCCTGCCCTGTCCTTCTGTCATAACATCATGGCCTTCGTTCTCAAAAGCCAGGAGCTGGGGACCCAACCTCCTCGAGAGGAGACAGACATCCCAAAAATATCCAAAGGCAAGTGCTTCCCTGCCCCTGGGCTGCCCTGTTCAGAGTGTCCTTTGCTGGCCAGGCCGTGCCAGTCACAGAGGACGCCCCATCTTGGAAGCACAGCCAAGACTCTTCTTGGATGGACCCCGAGTCTCTGGTCCCCTGTCACACCCAGCCCACCCCACCCCCCGAGACCCGGCCCAGCCTGGGGGGAGAGGTGGGGGCACGGCTGGCAATGGCAGAGAGGGACCCATGGGGAGCGGCAGGGTGCAGGGGTGCGGGAGTGCGGGGGTGCAGGGTGGCACGGCACAACCACGCTGTGGCCATGACACCCGCGGCCGGGGTTGCCAGCGGCTTTTCAGTGTCCGCCCTGCCTCCACGGCAGCTTCACTCATCTATCGCCTCCACAGAGTCCTCATCCTTCCTCTCCTCCGACTGCTCCTCCGTCGTCTCCGTGTTGTCCATGTCGGACAGCGAGGCCACCTGCCGCACCCAGTCCCCGTCATTGAGGGGCTCTGGGTTGCACGGTCGGGAGAAGGGGTTGAACCAGTTCAGGGAGAAGTCCCCACCAAAGGTCTCCTTAACCGACTTCCAGCTGCCCCTGCGCTCCCTGGGCTGGTGCTTTCGTTTGAGGCGCTCGATGCCCTGGAGGGACAATGGGACAAAGAGGGTCAGCGAGGTCCGGCTGTGCGCCCTCAAGCTCACCCCCAGCCCCAGCACGGCAGAGCACGGAGGTTCAGGGTGCAGGGGAGGGGGCTGGCGGGACACAGACTGTCTGGGGTCAGGTCGGGGCTGGGTGACCCTAGGGAACGATGGGGTGCGGGCGGAGAGCAGTGGGGAGCGGCACAGCAAGCAGGGCCTTCCTGGGGAGCTGGCCTGTGGCCCCCCGCCATCCCAGGCCTTTCCTCCCACAGATGTTGGGGGCTGCCCAGCCTCGCGAAGTCAGGCCAGGTTGCCCAGTGACATCGCCCCTGCCCTGAGAGCACTAGAAAGATGACCCCTCCCTGGGGATTCTGGGTCCTGCCCCCACCCCCCCCCCAGCAGGTGCAGCTGACTTAGCACAAAGAAGGGATGCAGGCGAAGAAGGGATGCAGGCGAAGAAGGGATGCAGGCGGAGAGGGCAGAGCTCAGGAACAAACAACGCTGGGGGTGGTGGGGGAAGCAGATGTGTGCATAGCTAGTGCCAACATGCGGCGGGCAGCTGGGGGACACTCAGGGCAGCCGGGGGAGGCCCGGGCTGGAGTCAGGCCCCGCTCATGTGCAGACACACCCTGCGGCTGCTCCCAGGCTGCCCACTCACCTGCCTCCGGGGGTCGGCTGCGACTCAGCTGCCCGGCCAGAAAGAGGGTGTTGGGGAAGAGGGGTAAGGCCCACAGGAGTTAAAGGCACAGCCAGGCCAGCTCTCCAGGCCACAGCACCCTCCACGAAGGCTCCTAGCCCCACTGTTAGCACTGGGGCCTCCGCCTTCTCCATCCCTTCCGGAAGCCCAGGGAATTTGCTATAGGTTTGCCAGGCATGGGCGCTGCTCATTCACACGACTCATTCCACCTCGGAATCGTCTCTGAGTACCTCGTTCTAGGTTTTTTCCTCCTTTCCACACAAGAGCCTCACAAAACTGGAATGATCCTTTCTGTTATGTGCAAAGAGAAACTGAGACACGCAGACAGAGACTGAGATCTGCCCCACCCTGCGGGCCAGTTCTTCTCCAGCACTCTTTCTTCCCACCCCATCTCACAGATTTGTTTCTTGGCTTTTGAAAAAAATGGTAGTTTAAAGAATCTGATTGTAAGATACTAATTAAGAAGGGCAAACAAGTAACTTTACAGCGAGGGAATCTTTTGCAGGTATCAACTTAACCAAATCAAAGCTAACATCACCGATAATGAGATAATGAGACGTGTCAACATCATACGCCTCAGGATAAGACACACCCAGAGGGACGTTGCCCCGGTCGTCCTGCCCAAAATGCATAATCTTGATCTAATTGCAAGAAAACATCAAATGCAAATTGAAGGATATGCTACCAAATATCTGACCTTCAGTCTTCAAAAGGGTCAAAGTCTGATGGGAAATGCTTTGGAATAAGAGTGGTGACTGTGTAAGGCACTATGTCTGTACTAAATGCCACTGAATTGCACACACGAAATTGGCTTTTATGTTATGCGAATTTCACCTCAATTGAAAAAAGGGGTCACGGCGCCTGGGTGGCTCAGTTGGCTAAGCGTCCAACTCTTGATTTTGGCTCACGGTTCATGAGATGGAGCCTTGTGCTGATAGCGCAGAGCCTGCTTGGGATTCTTCCCTCTCTCTTTGCGCCCCACCCCCAATATAAATAAATATATATTTTTAAAGGGGTCGGGGCGCCTGGGTGGCTCAGTCATCTGACTTTGGCTCAGGTCATGTCATGATCTCATGGTTCGTGAGTCTGAGCCCTGCACTGAGCTCTCTGCTGTCAGCACGGAGCCTGCTTTGGATCCTCTGTCTCTGTCTCATGCATGCACACTCGCTCTCAAAATTTAAAACGCTTTTAATTTAAAATATTTTTTAAATTGAAAATAAAATAAAAATTAAAAAGGGGGTCAAGTTCATGAAAGACAAAGACTGAGGAATGTCACGGATGGGACGGGAGCATGACAAAGGATGAACTGTGGCATCCCGGGGCAGACGAGGTCTCAGAGGGGCACCTGGAGAAATCTGAATAAAGCATGTAGATCAGTTAATGGTATCATATCAATGCGTTTCCAGGTTCCTGCATTTGTATTATGGTTATATGAAATGTTCACATTTGGAAAAACTGACGGAAGGGTATGCCGGGAGCTCTTTGGGCTGTATTTGCCACTTTTTTGGTAAGTCTAAAATTCTTTCATAATAAGAAGTTTAAGGGGCGCCTGGGTGGTTCAGTTGGTTAAGCATCCGACTTCGGTTCAGGTCATGATCTCACGGTTTGTGAGTTGGAGCCCCACGTCGGTCGGGCTCTGTGCTGACAGCTAGCTCAGAGCCTGGAGCCTGCTTCAGATTCTGTGTCTCCCTCTCTCTCTGACCCTCTCCTGCTCACGCTGTCTCTCACTCTCAGAAATAAATAAAACATTAAAAAAAAAGAAGTTTAAAAAATCTTGAGATGCACAGATGTGAGCAACACAGTCTCGAATACTGAGTTACACTGTGAAAAGCTGGAAACAGTCGACATGCCCAATGGCGATGGCTAAGTCAGCTATGGAAAATGGTTCGAATACAGTTTTCCATCACGCTGGAAAATCCTGCCCACGTGGTAACAAGGGAACCAAGAAGTCAGCTGCATATGATATCCCAGGGCCTCTGGGGACGGGATGTGAGATGGTTTATATTTCTTTCTGTGGACTTCCCACACGTTTCCAAGGTTTCACCAATGAGCAGTGGTACTTTTATAATCAGAACAGAAAAGCTGTTTCAGGACACGGACCTTGCTGACAAGGCTTGAGGGGGTCTCCCTTCGGGCACGGGCACCTGACGTGCAGCTCACGGACTGACCCCTCGCCAGGCCTCCTTACTTAGCACAAGCAGCAATGGCCAACTAAGGGTAACTTGCTTTGGGGATTCTGCACTCCCTTCCTGGGCAATCATTTGCAGCCGGTCAAGAGAGGCATTTTAAGCATGACTTCAGGGCAGCTGAGACATCATGAGGCAGACCAGCTACAGAGGGGACACCCAGAAACGACAGATTGACTATCCACACCGACTGGGCTCGCTCAAAGGCTGTGGATCCCCACGAGAGGAGGGGGGTGTTTGTATCGACACTGGCAGGTGGAGAAGCAGAGGTTTCCGAGAGGACATTACAAGGGGCCAAAGTTTGTCCTGGTCGTCAGATCGGGGGCAAGAACCGTTGTCTGCCTTCTGCCCAATGCGTTTTCAATCCGACTACAAATTCTCCTTCTCCCCATGCTGACCACAAAGGCAGAGGAAAGCGATAGAGGAAAATGAAGGAAGAGGGCCCGTGGGATTTACTACGTTCCGTTCCAGTGGCGTGTTCCTAGGCGAACACTCTCGGACTCCGCACAATCTCTTCTCCCAGCTCGTAAAAACATCGCACGCAGAGCCCGGCCTGTCCACCCGATACAGTTCCTGAGCAGGTAAGGGGGCAAACATCCACGTGTGTCAGCTCTGAGTCTGGACAGAAGCAAATATTCCAAACAAATCTGAGGGTCTGAACTCTCAGCTTCAGGAGGGGACAATGGGATTTCTTTTTCCTGGTAGGACTCGATTAATTTTGAGTTTTGTGTGGATCTCAAGGCGTCCTGAAGGCAAAGTTCTTAAGCTAGAGGTCCGCATAGGCAGCAAGGTCACCCGCTTCAGGCTCAAGCGGACAAGAATGGCTGATTCCTGGTTATGGGGCCATGGCCGAGGCCGACATCTCTCGTAGGGAGTGTGTGACTGGGGGCTTCTGGGGCCCATCTGCCAGGAGGACACATAAACTGTCATCTGCAAGCACACCCACCAGGTCTCACATTGAATGTACCAGGACTAAGGCTCCTGGGGAAGGGGGAAGACAGAGACTCAACTGAGGAGGAAGTAAAGACTCAACTGAGACCCATGGAGCAAAAGCTCATTCTCCCCTTGCTCCCCATCTCACCGGCTGGAGAAAGTCAGAGACGCTGCGCCCCATGCTCTGCGCTCTCCCCATTAGATCGGCGGGTCACACTCTTGCTTCCTCTGTGGTTCACATCTTTTGACTGCGGTGCACAACATATAACATTCTGTGCAGCCTGGCACAGCACATCCCCCCCCAGAGTTTCACAAAACCACACTTACTCTACAATTGTAATGCATTTTTATTTTTTTAAAGAAACGCTGTTGCGAACCTATAAACCCATCTCACAAATCATGAACAGTTGTGGGCACGGTTTGAAGAAGCAGAGATCTGACATCTACGAAAGCCACAGCGCGTGCCAGACGCCGTCCTAACAGTGACATTCGCGACCCTCATGTAATCCTCCCCTCGACCTCGAGATTTGGACGAGCTCCCGGGTTTTACAGAGAAGGTGGAGGCTTAAGTAAGGGACGGCCCCACGTCACACAGGAAGGATGGAGCTGAGCAGGGACTACTGGGGTAGTCACCAGACTACACTACCTCAGCGGCAGAAACGTGGGGCCTCCTCAGGTCCCTGTGAGAACATGCGCCTTCCCCCGGGGGCCACTCTGATTTGCTAGAATACTCAAGATGGTCAGGTCACCAAGGACTCCCCTAAGGGAGAGGGCAGGGCAAGGAGGCCTGGGGCCAGGACACTGACCAGAGGCCTGTTCCCGTGTCACTGTGAAGTCCTTACATCCTATGAAGCCCTCAGTGCAGAATCCAGTTGGATGGATGACACGCGAGGAAGACCGCTGGACAGACTAGCCCGCTTCCCTCCCAACAGGGAGACTTTTCCTGCTTGCTCAGCATTCACTTGTTGGGGAGGCCGTGGGTCGTGAGGGGAGAGTGGCTCCCAGCCAGCTTGTCCCACCCAGCACATGGGACCTTATCGTCACATGCATCAGGGACTGACCACCGGGGTGACCCCCCGCACGCCCCAAGTGGACTCTCGGTCTTGAGCTTGTGTCTGAGTCACACGGAGGGCTTGTGAAATCCGGATTGCTGGGCCCGGCCTGGAGAGTTTCTGACGGGGTAGGGT